CCTAGTTTATAACTCAAACTAGAAACTGGACAAGTTTACTTTGAACAGTTTTGTGTTTTTGCAGTGTAAGGGAAAATAATATTGAAATATGCACTGCAAAAACCCAAACTCCTATCAAGTATTCTTGGTCTCGTTTCTAGTTCAAATGTCTTATTTACTCCAGAAATAAGACAAAACTAACTTACAAATAACGTTTTGAAAGACATTTGTGTTTGCTTAAGTCAATAATTACTTTTCAGAAAAATGGAGGAGTTTGTTTTTAGTCAGTAATTCCTTATTAATTATCTCATTTATTACATGGAAAAATGTCTTGTTATAAATGAAACAATATTCAGCAATAATAAAGACGATGCTTAAAACAATCCCCTATATCTTGCTGAAAAGTTACTTTTCAGTTTTGTCACCGAGATATTTGCACTAGAATCTCAACCAGAAAAATCATTTGCAGAAAAATCCTTAAAACAATTTATGTTTGATTTTAAAGCTGAGGATCAAACTAATGTATGAAACTAATGGATTTCTGTAGTAATGTGTTAATGTTTTATGAGATATCAGTATAGTAAGTCCACTGGATTTACTGTCTGGTTGTAATTCTACAGAGAGAAATTATTTTGATTTGTTTGTCATTTTAAAACAAAATAATATAAAACATCAAACAAGTGAGAATCAAACATTGCAGTAGCAAAACAAAAGAAAGTTATGAATAGTTGAAAAAGGAATTTATGATGTTCTAAATTGATTTTTAACCCTTAATTTAAAATGACTCTATATTTCGGCTGTTTTGCAGTTTTCTGGAAGTTTGTCCCAGATTTTCGGAGCATAAAAACTGAATGCTGCTTCTCCATGCTTGGTTCTGGTTCTGGATGCAGAGCAGAACCAGAACCAGAAGACCTGAGAGGTCTGGAAGGTCTTTAATGTACTGTGGTGCCAAGTGATTTATAAACTAACAGATATTTTAAGTTTCTCTAAACGTTTTTGGCACTTTAGTCCTTTTAATCCTATAAATGTTCTTCAGGTGATAAAAGGCAGATTTGTAATTGTGTTTTAGACAATAACAGATTCATCCTTTTCACCCTTTGTTAGGATTAAGTGACAGTATAGTACATCATAAAATACAAATGCTAGAAAAGAGAACAAGGCTTTGCAGAGAACTAAAGTAAACATCCAATAAAATATAAAAAAATTGATAAACATGCAAAATTCAGTAACAAAAGTGACCTTAAGGATCTGTTTTAAACACCTTAAACACTAGCAACATAAAGAGTTATGAGTTCTCCAAAATATTTACATGTTGTAACCAATTTAATATTTCAAAATGTAGCCCAAATAAGCACCGACTTTCAGTCTGATGCCAACATAAACATGGAAACAACGTCGTGAAGCTCTGCCCACATATGAACTCCTGTCCACGTCCTCCTGCTTTGAGTAAATCCGTCCTTTTCAAGTCATTGTTGGTTTGTATTGTCTGGGTGAGTGATAGAAGTGGTTGAAGGAAAAGATTCCCAGAAGGCATTTCCATCCACAGTGACGGCGTTTCAGACAAAACAGCTTCTCAGGCTGAAACGTCACATTACCTCAGTAGCTTCATAAATTAAAGTGTTCATCACCTTTAAAATCAAACATAGCTTTGTCACTTTAAAGATTGCACTGCAAAAACACAAAAATAAGTATTTTTGGTTGAAGAGTCTAGTTTAAATATCCTATTACACCTAGAATAAGACAACATTAACTAAAAAGTAACTTTTTAGCAAAATATAGGAGTTTATTTGAGCATAGAATTGCTTAATATTGATGAAAAAGTTCCAGTGGCAAATTATTCCACTTACAAAAAGACATTTTTCTCATTTTATAAATAAAATAATTAATATTTAGGTATTATTGACTAAAAATAAGTTTCTGTACGTTTCTGAAAAGTTACTTTTTAATTAGTTTCGTCTTATTTCCAGTGCACTAAGATGTTTGCACTGGAAACCAAATCAAAAATACTCAGTAGGATTTTCTGTTTTTGGAGTGTATATTTGTATGCACTGTAAAATCACAAAGTTGTACCAAGTAAATTTGTCTCCATTTCTATTTGCAATAGTTTGCTACTGGTAGGTTTGTTTTTCACATGGGAAAGAAATCTTCCCGTTTTATAAGTTTCATAATCTGCCAGTGAAACTAGAAGTTGTTTTTAATCTGTATTAATAAATTGTTGACTAAAATAACCTCCAATATCTTGTTCAAAAGTTACCTGAGTTAGTTTTGTTTTATTTCAGGTGTTCTGAGATATTTACACCAAAAACTAGACAAATTTACTTTGAACAATTTTGTATTTTTGCAGTGTATAGGAAATAATTAAATTTACACTGCAAAATCTCCAAATCCAAGTTAAGTTGTATTTTTTCAAGTGTACTGAGACATTTGCACTAGAAACTAGACCACAGCTGCTCGGCGTTTTTGCAGTGAACTGATTGAAGGTGAAATGCAGCGGCTGCATCTCACAGCTGAGGCTTCCACCCTGAACGGGAACAATGCCTAAAAGCTGAATATTGGATTTTATATTATTGCTGCAGGGTCAGCAGGTCAAGGAACGTTTTTCCTTTCATTGCTGCTCTTCAGTGGCTCTCAAACCCCTTCCTTCCCATCAATAACCAACATTTATAGACATTCAGAAAGAAAATGTTTCGCCACTGTGAGGAAGACCTTGACTTGTTGAATATGTTCCATCTTTTATTGTATCTTCTCCAAAGCATTTGTCTTATAACATCCAAAGTAAAACTTTTTGTGCATAAAAAACTTTTTGCACTGCATGCAACAGAAAGTTGAGCTTTAATCAACATATTTGAAATAGTTTTCCTTCTCTTCCTGCCTTCTGGGGTGGTCTGCGCTGATCTCTTAACTCTGACATATCAGTCAAAACACCACAGCCTGTGTGTGTAGGCGTGTGTGTAGCTGTGATTCAGAACCTGAGCAAAGGTTTTAACATGCCACTATTTAGGGTTTCTGCAGCATGAGGAGAGGGAAGGGTAATGAGGAAACAACCACTTTGTTGGGGCAAGAGGATTTCTGCTCGGCTGTTTGAGCTTAAACCTTCACTTAAAGGAAAGTGAAGATGAGTGACACTTTCTGACCTCAAAATAAAAACTGCTAAAAACTGTTTGGGAAAACTGAACCGTCTACAAGTAGCGGCACATTTTCTGTGAACAAAAATTTTATTTTATCCTCCAGATTAATCTTTTCCTTTTAACTTTATGGACGGCATTTTAAGGGAGAAAAGAAGCAACAGGTAAAATAACGCCACCAATAAAATTTTGGATCTGGTACAAGTTCCTACACTGCAAAACTGCAAAATCTTACCAAGAATCTTTGCTTAGTTTCTGATGGAGACATTTTAGTACACTTCAAATACGACAAAACTGACTTACAAATCTTTTTACAAGATATAAGAGCTGGTTTAAGTCAATAATTCCTTAATATTTTTGGAAAAGGCTTGTTCCACTGGCAGGTTATTTCACTTTTTTCCTCAATATTAAGGAATTATGAACTTAAAATAAACAATTTCTTACTGAAAAGTTTCTTGTAAGTCAGTTTTGTCTCATTTCAGGTCTACTAAGATATTTGCACTAGAAAATAAACTAAAATACTTTTAACATTTTCTGTTTTGCAGTGTTTTTGAGGGCCATTACTGATTTCCAGGTTTCTTTAAGACCTGTGCTCCCCAACTCCTTTGCTAAGAATATAAGACATAAGAAACAGCTTTTTATTAAAAAAAGAAACAATTAAATATAACTTATAACCATAATAGGTGCTACAAGATGTCACAGGTTTATTCATAGGGCTGCAACTTTCTGTTGGTTGATTAATTTTACACAAACATGGTCACATTTTGCTGATTTTTTTATTTAACCTCTCAGGCCTTTTTAACAATATTAAACACATTAAAAGATGCATAATAAATAATTAAACACCAATAATAAACATTTTTGTTTGGGGAGGTGTGAATGTTAATCAACCAAAAAGGGAATTCTGGTCCGCCTAAAAAATTATGACATTCAGCTACTAAAAGAATAATTTCTATCAACTAGAAACATTTTGCAGAAGTCCAGTCGTTGAAAGTTCCCATCCTGAGCTGCAGGGCAGCAGAGGAAGTGAAATGATCTTATTGTCTTTCCAGACTGAAAGTTTAGACCAAAATAGTTGCTGATTTGTCAGAGATATTCTTCTTTCCTACGACAGCATCGGTGAATGTAAAATGGTTTTCCAAGGTTTATACGACCCTGAGGGCCAAGAAACTCGAAGCACCTTGGTGATTATGCAAACTAAAAATTCAGTTCAAGAGGGAAAAACCATCAAAGGAAATATCATTGTAAAATCAATAATGTATCATAGGAAACCGGATTTGATGTTTTAATCTCTGCCCTGGATCATTTCCAGCACACCTGGCTGGGCTCAAACAAACACGCAAACAGGATCAGAAACCAATTGGCAGCGGGGATCGCCAAACACTCGCATCCAAAGGAAGTGACAGAGCCGAGCTTTACACGACTTTCTGCGGTCGCCGCTTTCTCTCGACTCCTGAATGGAAGAAAGAAAAGGAAGGACCGCAGCGGGAATACACACAGAGAAAATACAGCCGAGGTAGGAACTGGGAGATTTAAACGCAGACAAAAGGCGGACAAAAATCAAAGCTCTCACTGAAAGACAAAGATAATAGGCGGAGAATACATGAACGGATAAAAGAGAGAGAAGATGTGTTTCCCCCTCCCCCCTCCGTTTGTTGACACGGTGTCAGCTGTGACTACTGGGTTAAGAAAACACTGGAGATTTGTTTGCTCTGTGAGTAAACTAGCCGCTGCTACGCCCTGAGCCGCGCTGCGTTCTCACAGACACACACGCACTGAAATCGCTCATGTTGAGAAAAACAACGTTCGGGGGGCAGGTCGGCTCTTGCAGCAGGGAAACAGTTTGGAGAGCGAGAGGCATTAGGTTGATCCAAGGCGTGGCGCACACTCACTCACCTGGTCAGGTAGGCAGGGCTGCAGGGACCGCCGCTGTTCAACACTTTTTGTAAAATCCTGCAACAGAAATCTTTTTTAAATCATTTTTCTGCTGGATTTCATTGTAACTTATCAGATAGTCGTCCTCAAGAAGCTCGACTGATCACAGCAAAAATACCAACAACAACAAAAAGAATAGCAGCAAAAAACTGTCTTGTAAATTCAGAGCATGAGAGCCACTCTAAGAAAACTCTTAAAAATTACACGGATAAAGTTGTAATTTTTTGAGAATGAAGTTGTGTTACAAGAAAGTCACTAATATACAAAACTAGCGGAAAGCATCTTTAATAATGGAAAATAAATGGCAGGATTTGGACGTTTCCACATTGTTGAAATTGTTGAGCAGGTAGATTATGGATTTGCTATTTTCTAGCTCAATGAAGTAATTATATCACCTTCAGCTAGAAAAATCCTGTTTATATCAAATATATTTTCAATCATCGACTGTATGGTATTAAGTTTTTTTTATAATTTTGTGTTTTCATTATGTAAAGCACCTTGCTGCTGAAATGTGCTATACAAATACACTTTATTGATTGATAGAAATATGATTTTAAATAAATTTGACTTCGTAATTTAATGCCTTGGAATCGGGCCTCTGTCTCTTTAAGAACTCCTGCTGTTTCTGTAACTTTGCCTTCAGGAAGTCATCCCAACATGGCTACTCTATTAACCCTTTGACACGTTTTTACCAGAGTTTCACTGAGCGGCAGCTCCTATAATGAGCTCCACCAGGTGTTTGCTAATTGCTGCTGGCTAGTCTGAAGGAGCTGAGTGAGGGAGCCGCAGGGAAATCACAGAAACGTAGAAACTGCAGCTCTGAGGCGGAGCTGCGCCTCGAAGGCGGAGCTAGGTCCACCCAGCCATTTTGCACAACTGAATGGTTGCCATGGAGACTAAAGGATTTCTTAATCATGCATGAAAGAATCAAAGCAACACTCCAGGTTTGTTTTTGATGAGGGGATAACATTATAACATGATGAAAAATGTTGACTTTACAGTATCCTGTCCCTTTAATAAACCAAAATCTGTGCTAAAATGTGATTTTTCTTAATTTTGTTTTGCTGAGTTTCACCTGCCTTTGTTTTAAAAAAATTATGTTTAGTGAAATTATTCTGAATAAAACAACAATTGAAAATAAATGTATGTCTCACCCCTCACATTTGTGCGACGTTCTGCAAAACTTCAACAAAATATGTTAATGTGAAGGCTGGATGATAGGCAGCTAAATTTATTTTTAGGACATGAATATGTCAGGGATTTCCGTTTCATGTCGTTAATTAGATTAGCTAGTTCAACATGGGCTGATTTTTTTTATGTTTGTGAGACTGTTTAACATCCTTTAACCCGTTAATAAGCTTCTGCATGTCGTTAATAACATTTGAGAGGCATTAAAACACTGATCTGTTGGTGTCTGCATGCAGCAGGCAGAGCTGTCATCGGTTTAATGCAGAACTCGTCTGTCTGACATTAGCATTGAACCCTTTTTAAAATACCAATAATCCCTTCCCATGACATGCGACCTGCCTTTACAAACAAAAATTCAGACATAAACACGTCTGTTATTACAGCAGAAAGTGTCATTAGGTGACTTTATCAACAGTCTGTGAAAATTTACCTGCACAAATTACTGACACTCAGAAATAAATATAATCATTTATCAAAATATTAGTGTTTTTATTGTATTTGTTGAACAACTATTCATGCCTCTTTCCCATATTACAGCCACAAACATAAATATATTTATTGCCATTTAATGTGAAAAACCAGCACAAAGCAGAACAGACATGCTGCAGGTTACCGTTCACAATGTGCCACATCAAAGGGAAAATAAAGAAAAACCATTGAAAAACAACTAAAAACCACATTGTTTCTCGCTCTGTGATGGCTACGCTACACTCAGACTCGTTGCCATAGCAACTGACAACAACAACACTAATGCATCATAATCCAACACCAAAAAACACTCAAACATTTCCCACAGAGGGTTATTTAGTAACAGTCCGTTACAGTTTTATGTTTTTAGGCTTGGTGTTTATTTTGTGATTATTAATAAGTGATCGCTCTGGTGGATTAGGTACCGCTGCTATTTGCTGAGCTAACACAGCAGTTGTTGATTAGCTAATTTAAACATCTGCTCTACTGATGATCTGTGGATCAAATGTTTTTTTAATTTTTAACTGAACCGAAACACACAGAATTCCACAGAGCATCTACATGGTAAGATTGTCAAAGTCAAGCTAGCATACCTAAGCTACTTCCCTCTCCCTTGCTACTTTTCTTAAATTAACTTTTTTCTGACCTCGTTATCTAGTTCTCAAAGTGCTGACAATTAGCAGCAAAGCACTGCATCCCTTTTTCTTTTATATATCATGCGTATATTTAAGATTTAGTGCATCATGTTGACAACTTTACAGCTAAAACTAATGCTAGTCATCGTTAGCGAGCAGCTTTTTAGCCTTCAGCAGGGATGGGGGCGGGATCGTGTATGTGTGACATCACTTTCCATCTTGTCTATGCAACCATGAAGTATAAAGAAAATTACACATAAATCAAAACATTTTTTACAGCTTTTTACTGCTAAAATAGATTTTTCTACAACGCATCAGTGAAATAAAGGATTATTTATCCTATTTTAATACGTTAGCCTTGTGCTAACGTTTTGGTGGAACGTTAGCACACCTGATATCAGAAAATCAATTATTTCACTAAATTCCTTCATCAGTCACATTAGTTTTCATACATATACACATAAAGCAAAAAAAAAATTTAAAGTTTTACTTCCTACAGTAAATTTAGTTTCTTATGCTAATCTCTTCATCCAGCTGAAACTTCAACATTCACACATGACATATTGTGATTTGTTGTGTGCAAAGCATGTTTTGGTATTCAGATCGCGCTCTGTCTCTCTCTCTACTTTAGAAATGAACATATGGAAGGGCGGTAGAAGAAAAACGGTAGAAGGGGAGTGCCCAGTCTGCTATCTGTCATGCAGAGGGATATATTTATCAGAGCTGCTTTTAAAAAAAGAAAAACATCTCACTCTGGAAGCCGCTATTTGGCTCCCGCCGGGCAATTGCGGCAGTGAGATACATTAGACCTGGTTTGGTTTGTTTTGGTTGTTTGGAGATGCTACAATTATGAGATACGGGGGGTGGGGGGGTTGAGTCTGAATACGGTCAGTTTGTTATTTTTTATTTTCATACAGCAGCGCCTACATGTCATCTCCTTTGCTTTTGCTTCCTTTCTCCATGTTTTGTTTTCTTCTCCCTGATCTTCATTTTACACTTCAACTCCATTTTTAACGGGAAGCTGAGTCTGTTGAGCCATTCGCTGCGTTTCTATGACCAATGTGAGCAAATCTGTCTATATTTTGCTGATGTCAAAAAAACCACAATTTCTAAATAACAATTTAAATTAAAATCACAAGTGAATAATAAAAATCATGTCAGTAACAGATAGTAAACAGTTACATAAGATTATATTCATAATTCAGCCAATCAGAGGAGACGTCAGGTGCTAATTCTGTACAATTCCCCCAAAAGTAGGCGGGGAAATTGTAGTTGGCAGTTTTAAAGAAGAGCTAATGAAAAATAATAATAAAAAAAATAAAATTACAAGAATAAACTTGCATGAGAATAAAGTTAAAATAATACAAGAATGAAGTTGTATTACAAGAAAAAGTTATAATAGTACAAGAATAAAGTAAGTCATAGTATTATGACTATGAAGTTGTAGTACTACAAGAATAAAGTTATAAAATTACGACTTTATTCTTGCATTATTTTGCCTGTATTCTCATACAACTTTACGCTATATTATAACTTTATTCCCCTAATATTATGACTTTATACATGTATTATTTTGTCTTTTTTCTTGTACGAGTTTATTGAGAATTCTCATTATAAAGAGAATATTCTCATGAATGAGAATATTCTTATTCTCATTCATGAGAATAAATTATTTTATAAATGATTTTATTCTGATAGTCTAATGTTTTGTAATATTAGAACAAAATGTGTTATGAGAATAAAATTTTAGTATTTTTTTTTTAATTAGTATGGCTATAATACTCCATCATAGATTTAGAAAACTTATGTTAAGATATTTTTGCTTCTAATACAAAATCATTTAAGATTTCAAATCTGTATCCAAAACTTAGTTTCTCCTAAAAATAAAAACACAAAAAATATTAAAAGACAGATCACCTTATATCTATATAAAATCAAATTTTAAATCTGCCTTCCTAAGCTTGAAGTCAGTTTTAAATAGAAAAACTGAAGCAGGAGGATAACAGTGAATGCTCCGAAGTAAAGTCAGGGTGTAGTTTCTCTAATCCTCTCTCTCCCTGTAGAACAGGCAGATGGTTATGACAAATAAAAGGGTGCAACAGGAGTGTCAGAGTGAGTGTGTGTGTGTGTGTGTGTGTGTGCGTGCGTGCGTGCGTGTGTGTGTGCGTCTGTTTCAAAGGCTCTCCTTTAATTCTGCAGCCCAGCAGGACACATTCTCTGACACACAGTTGCACAGAAATAACCCAGAAGAAGTTAATCTGGAGGAGTGTGAGCAGTGGCGTCTCTTCAGGCTGAGGTTCGGCCTTTAATCAACATTACCACTCTGTTTTTTTTTTTTAAAGACAGCGATTTACGTCACAGGTTTAAAAGTTCAAACATTCAGAGATTCAGTGACTCATCGCTGCAACAAGGATGATTCAGCAAATCAGAAAATGTCAACAGAGACATTTAAATCCAAATGACTGCCACTTAGCTAGCTAGCATTTAGCTGCTATGCACCACAATCTGGAACAAACTTCCAGAAAACTGAAAAACTGCTTCAGACTGGTTTCCTGAACACGACAAGGAGTTCACGGAGCTCGAATGGCCTCCACAACCACCAGATCTCAGTCCAATACAGAACCTTTGGAACGTGGTGGAGCGGGCTGTTAGCATCCTGGATGTGCAGCCGACAACTCGGCAGCAACTGTGTGATGCTATCAGGTCAGTATGGACCAGACTCTCTGAGGAATGTCTCCAGAATATATGCCACGAAGGATTAAGGCGGTTCTCAAGGCAGAAGGGGGTCCAACCCGGTACTAGCCAGGTGTACCTAATAAAGTGGCCGGTGGGTGCATCTTCTTATGCGGCCCTTTTGACTCCAAAGAGACGGATAAATGGATAACAGTCGTGTGCTTCAGAATCATTTCATCAATGAAGCCAAAGGAGTTTTTCTCTGCAAACTGGGACACAAAGATCAACAGATGTTTCAACGCTAATAATGCATAATTATGAGTTTACTGCAAATTATCTGCAAAAATAGTCAAGAATATTGAGTTCAAGTGATTCTAACTTCTTCTGCTTTGATGCCAAGTTAATTTGTGATTGAGTAACAAAAATCAACATGAACTTAATTAGCTTTGAAAATATTAAGTTGTTAAATGTTTAATTATAAAGAGACTGGGAACATTTATGCTATTTCTCAGGAAAATGTCTTTCTGGACAGTAAAGTCAATATTTCCCATTAACACAAAAGAACATAGTGAATTCCCCAGTTTACTCCTACACACACACACACACACACACACACACACACAGGAGAGCAGACACAAACACAGGCTTAGGCAGATGTAGGCACAGCCAAACACACACAGAGCAGCTGTTTAAACTGGAGAGAATCCACTTCGCTGAATGACGGCCTCGATGCAAACATGGACCAAAACAAACAAGCGTCAACGAAGAGACAAGATTGAGGTTAAAAGTGTTGGAAATTACAAAAAACTACTTTGTTTTTGCATTACAGCAGCAATCAAGCTTGTTGATTCTGTAAAATAAAAACAGAAAATGTTTTGGATGAACATTGTTAGAGTCATGAGTTAATGAATATTTCTGAAATTTTGAATACAAACTGATGGTTTTGTTTTTATTTTAAAGGTAGAAGTGATTAAAAAAGAAGATGCTGCTGCAGGTGAGAAACATGCAGGAACATGAACACAACCCAAATAAAAAAATACTCCTGAATGTGTTTTAAAGGTTATTTCCTACAGCGGGACACTTAAAAAACACCTCAATCAATTAAAACATAATTACATTTCTAATTTAATCTGCTTGATTCATCTTCGTAGACATAAATTAATGAGAGATGATAGGAGATGAAAAAAGTCTCATTCATTAAAGTCACAAACATTTGCTATTAGACATTTATAATCTCTTGTGAATTTATGACTTTGCTGTTATTTTATGACGACTTGGTAACTTTATTTGAAGGGGTGAGCATATGACTTATATGACTGCTGTCATGAAGTGTCATCCTGTAAATAATGCAACTTTTAATGCAACGTTGCACTAAAAGTTAATCATTTACCAAATAATGCAAAGTTGCACTCAGGCCTCTCAAAATAAATGTTGCTGGATGATAAATTGTTCCAGAAGTTATTGTGATAAACAACAATATTTTTATTTAGAGAGCATTTTCAAGTAATTTAGTGGTAATTATATAATAATTAAAGAATCTTCTCAAATATCAATAAACTTTAAATTCTAATGGAAATTTAACACTGAAACTGGAAGACATTTAAATATCCAAAAGGCCTAAAAACAAATAAAATTAATCAAGACGTCTGTGAACATAATTATCCTTGTTGAGACCAAGAGACCAAACTGAAGACTTTTATCATCCAGTTTGATAGAAAAGAGAAAATCAATAAATTATGCAAATGGAAATTGAGTTTGTTCTAATTTATAATGCAACTTATTGATTTATTGCTTATTGCAAAAGGCACTAAATATTGCATCAAAAGTCCACAAAAAGTGTCAACTTTGCATTATTCGGTGAACAATGACACTTTTAATGGACTTGTAATTAAAGTTTTAATTGAACTTTGCATTAAAAGTGTCATTTTTTACTGAATAAACCTTCATACATTCCCTCATGTTCCTGACGGTGCTTTGCCCTTTATTCTCATAATTTTATTTAATTTTTTGGCCCTGATCCTCGGTCCTAGTAAACCAAACTGCTTCTTTTCTTTAATCACTTATTTTTAAACTTTTCTGTCTTTACTCAGCTTATAATTTATTTTAAAAATGTTTTTACTTTACGTTGAAAAGGTTTGAATAAAGAAACGAGCCGCTGATGAACAAAGTAAAAACTTAATGAGCCGTCGGACTGTAAAAACGTGCGTGTGTGTGTGTGTGTACGCGGCTACGGCTGAGTGTGCTTTATCTGGTTTTATCTTTCTACCCCTCCTCTCTCTCTCTCTCTCAGGATTAAACATGTTTATCAATTATCACTCCATCTTGCCTCCAGCTCTCAGCACGCCACGCAGCTAATTGAATCATTTAACAATCGCTGCTCCTCTGGGAGTGTGTGTGTGTGTGTGTGTGTGTGTGTGTGTGTGTGCGTGCGTTAGGGGTGAGAGTGGGGAGTTGTTTGCAAACATGATAATGCCCTCGGGTGCCTGCAATGCACTTGTCAGATATGTTTATTAATTTATGACACACACACTCACAGATGGGTCCTGGCGTGTGTGTTGGCGCACCATGTGTTGGTCACGGCTGGGGGCCTCCCCTGTTGTCTCACCAGCAACTGGTTGGTGGACGGCTCGTTTCCAGGATCTGTAGATGCGTCTGTTGCAAAGGAGCAGAAAAATTAGTCTTTACGTATTTTGGATAAACACAAATTTAATCTACAACCTGATGCTGCGTTACAAAAATCTCTAGAAATTTAACTTTCATTTCATCCTGGTAGAATCGGGATTAAACATAACACTTTAAGCCTTTGTAACATTGTTTCCTCATCAGTGATGTTGGTGCGTTATCAAAAAAATGTCATACTGTGGGCGTATGGGGAAAAATGAAGTTTACGAAAAGTTGAGATTAAAAGTCCTAATATTGCAAGAAAAGTCATAAAATTACAAGAAAAAAGTCAAAATAATATATTTCATATATATATATATATATATATATATATATATAATGAATATCCAATATTCATGATATTCTGACTATTCTTGTAATACTTTGATTTATCTTTGTAATATTACTTTATTTTTCTCTTAGTATGGTCCCAATACTTTGTCATATTGTGGGATCAATATTACAAAGAAGCATTTCTCCAAACTATTTTATTTGTACTTTTTGTGTTAATTATTTTTTTGACAGAAACATGAATTTGTGCGTTTGGGTGCATCAGAAGCAGAAGCTCGTCCTCAGCCCTGCTCGTTTCCTTTCCCGTCGCTCCGTCTGACCATCTCATCTCAACGCCGTCATTGATTACGGCTGATCCACTTCCAGCTGCTAGCCTAGCATTAACCGTGCTCAGGTGAAGTGTGGACACATTAATTGATTGCTGTCATCAGTGATTGTGAACGCATGAACCCGTTATTAACGGCGGGCTTCATCAACTGTCGAGCAAACACACAATCAGAACTGCTTTCACTGCACCCGTTAGCTGGAGTTTCACTTTTTTACTCCACAAGAGGGAAAAAAGAAATAATTGTAATTGTTTTTGTCTGATTTGGAGAGGCATCATCAGACCCAAACCTACATCTAAAATGCCTAAGGTTTAAATTCTCATGCACATCCATGTGGGTTTAGTTTTTATTAGAAACGTCTGTCAGTGCAATGAACTATCAAATAGTGAGACTTTCAGAAAAAAATTACATTCAATCTGATTTTTAAATCCATTTTAATACGATAAAAAGGCCGAACTCTGATCCCAGCATCCCAGATGTTTCTGTTTCTACTACATTTTTATTTTTATTGATATATACAGATCATTGTTGCTTTTATTCAATTATTCGACTTAGAGAGTTGCCATTTTTTAAACTTTGTTGTGCTTTCTTCTGTCCACAATGACAATAACAGGAATTCTGATTCGGACGGAAAAGCAAACTCTGGAATGCATATGAAAATGGCAAACGGACCAGAAACCGCTCCAAAAACAGGAAGAGAACAGGGCATTCTGGGTAAATAAAACCAGAACAAACCCATGAATCCAACAACCGCTAAAATCTGACCCTACTCCAGGAGGAAGTTGTGCTCAGTAGATGCATTTTCCTGATAAATGTGCACAAAACTATCAATAGTTTGCTAATGTCAACACAATTTGGCAATACCATTAGATAAAAAACAAAATCACACATGAATAAGTTTGTTCACGTGATAAGAAGTCATTAAAGAACAGATCATCTTCCAACTACTTCCTGTCATCCTCTTCGTCATTTCTGACAGTAGTAACACCCGGTTGCTGATCATGTGACAAAAAAAAAGTGTTTCAATTGCAGTTTTACAAAATACATGCAAACATGCAAAAGCTTTAATTAAAAACATGAGGTTTTCCGAAATTGCAAATTTGCAAAATTGCAGATAGTTTCTTCTTCAGAGGTTTTCATGCCATTTCCTTCAGTGTTTCTTGTTGGAACGCCCCTACAGGTGAGGAGAGGAACAGGTTTTTCAAAGAGTTTGATTTGTTTGGGACAGTGCCCTGTGAAAGAGAAACACAGCAGCTGAAAATGTAACAAATGTTGCATTTTGGTCCCTAATTGAACCGAATCCACCAAACTATCAGGTGTGAAAACGGCGTAAAACATTTACAGCTTTGGACATTTTGACCAAGCCAGAAGGTTTTTGGTTTGCTTTGCTCTTCCTGATGTTGCAGCTGTTTTGTTTAGCAAAAAACAGAAAAAATGAAAGAATCTTGTGCTAAATCCTTACAGCACATAGAGAATGTGTTAAAGTGTCGGACTGAAAGCTTTCCCAGAGTGAATCATGAAGAGAATCAACAGAACCGAAAGAAACCCCCAGCCGACCACCTTCTTCACCGTCACCATGACAACCACCGCCCCACCTTATTCTGGGATGTCCTGTAGTTATGTTCTTCAATTATGTCTCACTCTTTAATGTTGGTGCTGCACATTGATATTTAGTCAACCGCTGCAATTTTAGCTGCTGCGTTGAAATGTAACTGTCTCACCCGGGAATCAAAGGACGGCGAGATCCTCCTGAGGCGACGGCAGGCAGAGATGAACATTTATTCCCGTTTCCTTTCAGGCTACATCTGCAATTTGATTCGAAACACGGAGGGTTTTTCAGCATGCCAAGCAACTTTCAAGGAAAATGTTTTGTATGGTAATTTATCCACCGTCTGTGAGATATAACATTTTTATCCCCACTTTAACTCCATGAGAATATTTAGAGACAAGAATCTACAGTAGGTATTAGGTGTAGCGAGTACAGAGAAAAAATGCGTTGTCATGATATTCATTTACTGTAAATAGGAAAATATTTCAAAAATAATAAAGACATGGGTCAAAATGGGCCCCATGTGAGACCGTCTTTAGGCCCAATCATGGCCCTGTATTAAATGCCAATATAATTTTAAGCAAGTTCATTCTGGCTGAAATTTGGGACCCATACTGGTTGCACAATTTGAAATAAATGTATTGACCCCCATCATTTCAGTGACATGTGACCTCCATGGGGTTCCCTGCTGTTTCTTTGAGAATAGACTGGATATTCGCAGATTTTTTTGTAGAACGTAACTCCAAAGTATTCATGAAAAATCATCAGATTTGCTGATTTCCTTCATAGCACATATCTAAAATAATCAAAATAAATGCAGTTGTGAAGCTATTTCAAGGCAACGCTACTGGCTTTGCAAAGTAGCCAATCCAGGAACACCTTTTATTTTAGTTGGTGCTGATTGGCTGCGATAAAGATAAGGAAGACTGTAGATGTTGGTTTCTGCAACAGATGGTTTCCACTGTATATATTAATGAATATTAAGGTACATTTGTTGTTTGAACTATCAAAATGAGTCGTTAGTTTTTGAGAGGGAGGCTCATTATTTCAGCTCTTCACTGGTAGTTGTGATCCATTAAACAACAAATATTGGCGGCCATCTAAACACTGTATGTAGAAAGTAAGTTGCTGGGGCCGCATGGCACAACCCAATCCAGATGACTGGCTGGTTGCCCAATAATCTACCAGATGATGGGACAGATTAGATGATCTGAGTTTATCACACATTGCTTAAGAACCTATCAGGCATTTAATTGATATAAAGTCTGAACTCTGATGATCAGGATCTTGATATTATTGCCGATGTTGAGGCAGATTTGCTGCAGTGTAAGGTGTAAAATCGAGCCATCCAGATTCACTAGCCTGAGGTGAACTTTTGAAGATGCTCCTTCTTAATTGCCTCAAACACTTTTGTTGATTTAATTTCTTCACTGCAGAAAATGAGCTGGAAATTATTTGCCTTTCATATAAAACATAAATCAATCTGTAGCTAGCATGGTAAAGGATGCTTGCCATGTTCCTAGAAAAGACCTGAAACCCAGACACGCACACACTCCACCCACACAAAGGAATCTCCCTCAGCCCGAGGTGGCCACCACCCAACACAGGTTTGCAAATGTTGCATTGTACGCTGAAGGCGGTCCACAGGTGCGATAGGATGACCTTTCAATCACACGCACACCTTGTAAGACCGACGAAATGAGAGAGATAAAAAGAGAGAGTTCATGCAGAATAGGCCCAGAGCCAGAAAATCCATTTATCTTATCCGGTGAACATGTGTATGTCTCCTCTGTCTGACAAGCTTTGATTTACTGTTTGGCACGTTAGGCGGACAAAAGTTGGCTTGAGATAAATCGAGTCGTCATGTTAGAGAGGGAAAGACCCACGAACGTGTCAATTTGGTCACAGTGGCTTTGTTCACCCTGTCATTATCCGCCTTCTTTGTCTTTTGTAACTTAACCGACTTAATATCAAAGTTTATAACATGACATTCATGGTGAATTTAGTTTTATAGCAAATCAAACCTGAATGAAAAGACTGTTTATGTGCAACAGCTGTCAGAACAGTGGAGTAATAAAATTCAGTGTAAACTGGATTAGTGGCTGAGTTTTGGTCCAACAAGTTACGACCAGCCGCCGACGGTGTCTGCATGTGCTGAGAGACACGGCGTACCTTGGTTAAGCTGTGCTAAAATATTTTAATCAGCCACACCATCTATCAAAAATCAGTCAGGCTCATAACCACAACATCAATATGAAGGATGGAGGCTTTTCATTGAGGGAGACTTTTCTAAATTTTTCAGTATTAAAAACCAAAACACAATCAAGCAAAAATAATACTTTTAATTCGACTCTACAAACTTCTACTAAAAGGAAAAGTTTCAGGCATTTTTAGCAATTCAGTTTATAACTCCAGCTTACAATAAATACACTCAAGTTTCTTTGCAAAACAGCAGTTCAATCATCCAAACAAATCCCAGACTATAATTCAAATTGGTCAAAGAAAATTGCTGAGTTTGCAGCAATTCCTCATGTTTAGTTTCACATCCGAGGGAAACGGAGAAACGAGAAACTGAAATCTTACAACACCAGAAACACTGGACCAAAAACTGGACCAAAATGTTAAAAAGAAACTAAGGCAGACCAAACATGTCAGCAAACTACTAGTATAATCAAACCGAGGCAGTTTTCACATTCAAAGTTTCAAATGTTCCATCATCCAAGGGAGAAAATGACAATATTCTATCATGTCTGGACAGTTATTAATACTGAAAGTGATGAGTAATCATTGTTTTCTTCAAAGCTTTCTTAGTTAGCAAAACAACA